TTTTTTTTTTTTTTTTTTTTGGTATGAGGATCGAACTCGGACCCTTTTGCTTGCAAGGCAGGCAGCAAAACCACTGAGCTCAATCTCCAGCCCTGCAAGTGAATTTTTTGAAATAAGGTCAGCTGAGTATGGAGGGTGAAACACTTAAAAATCAAAACAAAACAAAGAACACAATTCCAAAGGACACCTTCCATATTGTGATGGTTAATCATGGTGTCAACTTGACTGGACTGAGGAATTCCCAGAAAATGGTAACTCGACCGCTGGATGTGCCTGTGAGAGTGTTTCCTGAGAGGATTGGCGTGTGGATCAGTGACCTGAAGGGGGAAGACCTGCCCTGAATGTAGGAGGAACCACTCAACAGGCTGGGGGCCCCCTGGAACAAAAAGCAGATGAAGGGGGAACTCTCACTCATGCCCGGTCCCATTCTTCTTGCGCTCTGCCATGGCCAGCTGACCTGAGACTCCAATTCTTCATCACATCAGCGATTCTCTGGGGGCTTGCAGCACTTCAGTCTCAGACTGGGACTGCATCCTTGGCCCCGCTGACTCTGAGGCTGCAGCTCCTTGGACTGAGCAGTTCTTGGGTACTCCAGCTATAGCCTGCAGGTGGCCACTGTAGGACTATCCAGCCTCTGATCGTGTAAGCCAATCTAATAAATCCCCTCTTATAGTTATATATTCTATTGGTTCCATTCTTCTAGAAAACTAATACAGGTTTTTTTTTTAAAGCAATGTATAATATTTGAGTCCTGCCTTCATAGAATTTAGGATAAAGATGGCCACAAATCCATTAATGAATCACAAAAGATGTAGAAAACCATCCCTTGGCAACAAAAACTTCAATGCACTTCTTTTTATGACCTATAGAGGAAAGGAGGAAAAAGACAGTGTATCTCTGGATATCAAAGAGAAGTGAGATTCTATTACATAGAGAAGTGTTTGATCCTTTGCTTCTGATCAAATGTTACTATGGGTTGGATGATGTTTGCCCCACAAAAATTCATGTGTTGGTAGTGGTCCCCAGTGTGGTGGTATTGAAGTGGTAGAATTCTTAAAAGGGGGACAATTGGGATCCCATAGATTAGTGGGATCAACCCATCAAACAGGGTTAAGGGAGTTCTCCTGGCACTTGATTTAGTTCTCACCACAGAAAATTGTTAGGAAAGCCTGAGCCTGACCTCTGAATCATTCTTGGCCATACGATCCCTCTCTAGGAAAGTGCTCCTATCATGATGTCACCCACCACAGGGTCCTCTCCAGAGCTGATGCCAGTGCCATGTCCTTGAGCCTTTTCTTTATGAAGTTACCCAGCCTCACATACTTTATTGAAGTAACAGAAAACAGTAATTATAGGTCATATTTTATTTGGCAGCAATAACAACATAGGTGACAAATCGTGGAGAAATTTCAAACTATCATACCATCTAGTAAGTAGTAGAAGTAGTAATTATTAATGGAGATTAATTCCCAAAGCAGCTTTCTACCATATAGAAAAAATGAAATTTTATTTTTTAAAAAAGCATGTATTAAAAACACACAGGGAGAATGCACAAATGTTCAATGAAGTACTGTTCTTCTGGCTTCCGTGTGAAGGCATCCATGCCATATTTAGCCTTGGCCTAGTTGGCAGTCCTGTCTACTTTAAAGAATAGTTATAGAATTACAATCAAATGAATATTAAGGTCTTTCTGCAACTCCTAGGATATTTCTGTCCTGTTTTATTCTTACTTATAACCCTCCTGATTTTTTAAATGATAAAATACAACTGCATTCTCAGCAGAGAACGTATATTCATGGGAAAGGTTATTTAGGAATAAAATAAAAGGCAAGTCAGTTACAGTTTCTTAAATCTATGTAGACTGATATCAGTCATCAACTTGACCTCATTCTTACATATTTCCTGCATAATCATCTCAGAAAGTCAAGAAAATAGCTATAGATAAACATCTACTTGAAAGTACATTATTGTCTGAGGTTAACTGTAAGTCAGATATGCAGCTGACTTATGAACACTACAAAGCTGGGTCAGCATCATATCAACTAGGCCAGCAAGAGACTTTCTTTCAGGAGTTTCATCTCTTGCTCCATCTGCAATAAAATTAAATTATACGAATCCCATCCAGATTCCTTGGGAAACCACTGAAGACGGTCTGTTTTAAGTAACAACTTTAAACCAACCCAAAGGCTGGGAAGCATAGCTTAGTGGTAGAGCCAGGCTTAGCACAAGGCTGAGCACTGAGTGTGCACAAGGTTTTGAATTCAATCCTCAGTGTGTGTGTGTGTGTGTGTGTGCGTGCGTGCGTGCGTGCACGCGCACACACACACACACACACACACACACACACACACTACAAGAATAAAGAAACACAGAAAATCCCTACACATCAAGTAATGTCTCTCCCACAGCTTCAAATTTGGAAACTGACATTACAGAGCTGCCCGTATTCAATTCTGGAAAAGGCAGAAGCTGCCTCTGACAGGATTTGGATCTGAGATAAACTATTCTTGAGAGATGAAACCAGGTCAGAAGGGAGTTCAGTTGTAAAGATCAGTACTCTGATAACTGCTTAGATTTTATTCTCCTGGAAAATAAATTTTATTAAACTGTTATACCTGTCTACTATCAAGTGACAAATCTTTCCACAAAGGAAACACAGATAATGTTTAATATTCTTAGAACGAGATTTTTTTAAACTGACCTTTAGGGGGAAAACAGTGCATTCTAATAAACTAAAATAACAGACTTCCCAGATCCCAAAGCCTTCTTTATCAGCACACTGCCAGAAGGAAAGAAAATGTACTAGGCTACCTGAGGAAAAAAGTAAACAACAAACAACAACAAAACTCCAATGACTCCCCTTAGGTTTGATGTGAATGTAGGTTTAGATATGCAAATAGAGAAAAAAAAAGTGGAGCAGTATTATTCTCCTTCTGTAGCTATCTTTTTAAACTGTGGACGAAACCATAGACCACGTTCCAAGCCTGTAACTCTGTATCTAGGAAGAATTTTCCTTTCGTTCAATATTACATCACCAGCACCTCCCACTCTTCCTTTTTATCTAAGATTCCGATGAAGGGAGGTGCCTGTATGAGCAACAGAAAGTGACTAAGTTGCAAGGAAAAAAATCGTTAGCTAGAACTCACGACCCCAAAATTATAACTAAGGTATTTTATTACACAATGGTGGGTCTGTTCTAAATTTCCGTACACTTCAGCAGACACACTTGCACTCTTTTCGCTCCTTCCTGCTTGTAGCTGCGGAACTAGAACACCATTAATCATGGCTGTTTTCAAGACCATTATCATCTGTCGTCTGAGTAGTTCATTATGAAACTGCTCAACAACCTATTTCCTCCGCCCTGGCAAAAAGGTGCAAAGAACTGAGGCCTTGTTACACATTTTTAGTTTGAAGCTGGGAAAGCCCAGAGGCTCTGAAGAGATTGCATATTTCCTGGGTGTCTCCACCCAGAGCCGCCTCTTTTGTCATCTCTCCTGAAATCGCAGCTGCAAAGAAAGGCACCACCAGCCACTAGGCCTTGGTTTTCCGTGCTCTCCTAGCAAAGCCCAAGTCGTCCGAGCCAGTCCAACCAGGGCTCTACATCCTTCTCTGCACGGATCTCCTGAAAAGCTCGCCGTTGGACAGGTTAAGATCCCGGGTTCGGTTTGCCGATCGTGACTGATAAGTGACCCGTGTGACACTCGGCAGGAAAGCACCTGCCCGCCCAAGCAGCAGTACAGAAGGCTGGATTCCCCCACCCACACCTTCTGCCTCCGAGCACGGGCCCCACAGCTTCCTTCTGGGCTTTTGGATGCCTCTGTGCCACAAATGCTTCTCCCGGACGCAGACCCTGTAGCATCCTCTCTTCCCGAGGACCCCCCACCCACCCCGCCGCTGGGCACCCCCAGCACGCTGCTCCCCACCAGCCCGCAGTCATATTCAAGGCCGCGCGGTCCCAGAAGGCTGGGGAAACGAACGACCTTCCTCCAGCACTACCCCAGGGATTCTTCTCCCTTCGCTCTCATTCCAGGCCGCGCATAAATAGCATCGCGCGGGGCCAACAGAAGTAAATGAACTGTACTCTGGCGCTTACCTCCTTTGTGGCTATATTCCCAGGATTTTTAGAATTAGCTATCCAAACGTAGGGAGGGGGTTCTCTTGGTCGGTATATAAGACTGCCTTCCCCGTTGACTCCGACCTCCACAGCTAGAAACTAAAGCAGCCTCTGCTTCATCTCCAGGAAATTCTCGAAAAATTTAAACCCGCTCTTGGCTAGATGGGGACGGGGGAAGTCTGTTTCTGTTGACTGACTGTGTTTCCGGCCAATCGGCGCACCGCAAGGCGGTGCGCCCCCAAATCAGCCAATCACGGATCCCTAGGGGACCGAGCCTCCTGACTAGCAATTTGACTCAGCACTCTGGAACCGAGCCGCGCCGGGCAACGTCAACCTGGACTAGTGGCGACTCGGGGCGGCGCTCCGCCCTGGCACTGAGGAAGCTGAGGGCGAGGTGGGGGCGCGCCCGGGTGGTGGGCGGGGCCACCGGACCTGGTACCCTGCCAGGCAGGGAGGAGGGGGCGCATCGCTTCGGGCCTGGGGGTGGTTTGTGACAGCTGGGGAAACCGAGAAGGGCACTTTGCTAGGCTTAGAGCTTGAAGGCATCGGCTTTCCTTGTTCTTTAACAGATTCACAGGGCAGCGCTCTTCGTGGTTGAACAAACAAGCATCTCACGGTCCCTTGGGACTATCGATTCATTCATTAGCCGAGTGTTCCTATGTTTATGAAGGACCTTGTGTGTGTCAGGCACTTGCCAGGCACTGGAGAGACAAATCCAACCCAGAGAGGCATGAGTGCTGCCCTCGAGATCTGCAGTCTAACAAGGAAGAAGGAAAACTATCAAATAAACACACGCACACACACACACACACACACACACACATCTGTCAAGGGAGGAAACGGACAAGGTATGGATATTGAGAGCAGTAAGGGGTTGATGGGGCTGTCACATGATAACTAAATAGAAAGGCACAGTAGCTGAGCCTGGGGTGAGAAGGGAATGAGTCATTGGAAACCGGTGAAGATTGTTCTGGGCGCCGGGGGCACACAGCAAAGGTGCCGAGGTCGAACAACTCGGGTTTTACATCTGCCAATGTGATGCTAGTGTAGCACAGTGAGGGAGAGGAAGAACAGCAAGCTGTGAAGGAGGCGAAGGAAATGCAGCCTTAGAGTTTCACTACTTTTTAGATTCAATAGATCTCTATTGAGGTATTTGAAACAAATGAGTGAAAGAATGTGGTTTAGACTGTAAGTCACTTTGGTTAATGTGTTGTGAACATTAAAATCGGTTATTGGGAGACTATCAAGAGATTACAGTAGATGAGATTTACAGTAGGAGATGCCATGGATTAAACTACGGTGGTGTCCTTGAAGACAGAGAAAAGGCAGAGGGTAGAGAGTTTAAAGGCAAATGATTAACTTGTTTTGACATTTTAGGTATTCTGGTTTAGGGACAAGTGTTCTGAATCCAGTGTACTTAGTAGTCTGTGTAGATAGTGATGCTCATTCGGATGACTCAAATTCTGTTAATGACCTTGAGGTTTGTGTTGGGTTGACACCTAGTTTTGTAGACTTCCTGGATTTTTCTTTTTAAAACTGTTATTGCAATATAATATATATACAGAAAAGTGTACATAATCTTAGTATGTAGGTATACAGCTCTAGGTATTTTCATAGCCTACACACATCCTTTTATTCAGCACCCAGATCAAAAATTGGAATGCTATCAACATCTGCAAGCCACAGCATTCTGCCTTCTGGTTCCTGCTTCATTCCAAGGGTGGCTTCCCCATGGATTTGCAATAACATAGATCAGTTTTTCTGCCTTTACTGTTAAGATATATGAAATCATAAAGTATGCATTCTTTGTGTTTGGCTTCTTTAGTTCGACATTTTACTTATATATAGTACATCATTTTATTTCATTCTATAATTATACCATAATTTATTAATGCATTCTTCTGATGGATGTTAAGATAGTTGCAAGTTTGGAACTATAGTAAGTAGTGCTGCTATAAACATTCTAGCACATTTCCTTGGTGACTTTTTTTTTCTTTTGAAACAGAATTTTGATACCTGAGTTATAGTGAAGTAATGTTTTAATCTATGCATCAATAATATAGAACCATGTACTGCAATATTTCAAATATTTGGATCAAATTTTAGTGCAGGTAATGAAGGACTTTTTGCTCATAAAGGTGAATTGTTTTCTGCAATGACAAGGAACTGTTGATGTAGGAAATTTCATGCTTGAAGTAAAAAATGTTTTTCATTACTTTTGGAACTTTGACTTTCTAAGCACTTGCAAGCTGAATGTCTAACATTTGAGAACATCATGACTTTGCTATATCCTTTTACTGTAACAGCCTACATAATAGTCCTACTAGTCATATGACAATCAAAGTCAGACTGTCCTAAAGAATATCTCTGATGTTAATATAGTCATTGGAACTACATTTGAAACCATATCATTCCATACCCTGTTATAGCTGGTTAAGAATTAAGCCAAGGGGACTCAAGTATAGCTCGGTAGTAAAGGGCTTATGTAAGCCTGAGGGTATAGAACCTAGTTTCCTCTCCAGCACCACAAAGAAAGAGGAATAAAGCCAACACTTTTTGCACAGTTAAATATACTACAAATACAATTCAGAATACAAACAGAATGCCAAACTAATCAAATGGATATAACACTCCATTCCTCCATTAACTCGAATTCTTTCTTTTTTCAGCTTTTGTTTTGAAAAACCATTTGCTGAAAAGTAATTGTCTACAGGAAATTAGACCCCAAACAATTCATACAGCTTTGACTAGAATAAAGTGTGGTAGCTCATCAAAATTTAAAAATGAGGACTAGTGGGTATTGAGTTAGCCATTTGAGATGTAAACTAGGGAATGGAATTCTACTAGTTTTCCTGAGTAATTACCAGCCCTCTGGAAATCAAATGTTATTCAATGAAGAATGAATAATTCTATTAATATTCAAGAATGAAGACTCAATTTATTTCTTATTTAAAAATTACAAATGGATAGTCGGGGATGGTGGTGCACACCTTAATTCCAGCTACTCAGGAGAAGGTGCAAGCAAATTTGAGGCCAGTCTGGGCAACTCAGTGAGACCCTGTTTCAATAAACAGGAAACAAGAAGAGCTGGGGATGTACCTCAGCACTCCTTGTGCTTAATTCCCAGTAGTGCAAAAAGAAAAAAGGAAGACTAAGAAGAAAAGGGGGGAGTGGAAAAGCAGGAGTGGGAAAGGGAGAAGGAAGATGAAGTGAAACAAGAAGTGGAAGAAGAAGATAAGGCAGCTGGGTGTGGTGACACACACACTGTAATCCCAGCACTCTGGAAAAATGGAGGTAGAGGGTCACAAGTTCAAGTCCAGCCTAGGCAACTAAGTGACCTAGCAAAAGCCTGTCTCAAAATATTTTTTTAGACAAAAAGATTTGGGATTGTAGATCAGTGTAAAAGCCCTGGGTTTAAAACCCAGCACTGAAAAAGATCAAAATCAGCGTTTTTGTATGATAAGAATCAACACAGGCCTGTGTTACTCAAATATATTTTTCTCTGGGTCAGGTTGTTAAGTCCTTGTCAGGCTGTTACTAGCCCAGATGTCCCTTCTATGTGTCACTAAAATAATTGCCAAGGCACTGATATATAGAATTTTAAAATCTTGTCCTTGGATCCTATTAAACTTGCAGCAGTGATTTTATTTTAAAATATGTTTATTGAATCCCCATGTAATTTACCTCCATGAATGTGGAACAAATAAGTTTCACTCAGTACCGGCAGTACAGATTTGCATTTCTCTACCTCTCTTGGATAATTATCTCATTTTACTCAAGTATTTAATTTCACTAAGGATTAATTTTTCATCAGAGCTGTTGTGAAGACAGTTGTATCTTGTAAATGTATTTTGTAAAATAGATGATGAATAAGAATTCCTCTTCTTATCTAATTCCTGGGGTTTGGTTTAAAAAATTACTTATTTTTTCCCCTTGCAGAGCTGGGGATTGAATCCAAGGCCTCACACATGCTAAGCAAGCATTCCATCACTGGACTACATCACCACCCTTTCTTATTTCTTGTTTTGAGATAACCAAATTTCCCAGGGCTGGCCTTGAATTTGTGATCTTCTTGCCTCAGCCTCCTGAGTAACTAGGATTATGGGGGTGTTCCCCTGCAAAAAGCTCAAAATCAAAATATGGTAGTCATAAGGCCAGGGATTTAGCTCAGTGGCATTGCACTTTCCTCGCAAGGGCAAGGTCCTGAGTTTGATCCCCGGTACCCCCCCCCCCCC